ATGTGTCAGATCTACTACACTTTACAGCGACAATGTGTCAGATCAACTGCACTTACAGTGACAATGTGGCAGATCTACTCCACTTACAGTGGCAATGTGGCAGATCTACTGCACTTACAGTGACAATGTGGCAGATCTACTGCACTTACAGTGACAATGTGGCAGATCTACTGTACTTACAGTGACAATGTGGCAGATCTACTGCACTTACAGTGACAATGTGGCAAATCTACGGCACTTACCGTGACAATGTGGCAGATCTACTGCACTTACAGTGACAATGTGTCAGATCTACTGCACTTACCGTGACAATGTGGCAGATCTACTGCACTTACAGTGACAATGTGGCAGATCTACTGCACTTACCGTGACAATGTGTCAGATCTACTGCACTTACAGTGACAATGTGTCAGATCTACTGCACTTACTGTGACAATGTGTCAGATCTACTGCACTTACAGTGACAATGTGGCAGATCTACTGCACTTACAGTGACAATGTGGCAGATCCACTGCACTTACAGTACATTGACTGTGTGGCAGATCTACTGCACTTACAATGACAATGTGGCAGATCTACTGCACTTACAGTGACAATGTGGCAGATCTACTGCACTTACAGTGACAATGAACATGATTTGCAGTGAAATATATCAGTTCAAAAAATATGTTGTATTAATGTTATTTCTGTCCAAGAGCGTTTGTTGGGGATACTCGGATGGTAGCTCAGGATGGTGGATAACAGACAGAAGACAAAAGTCAGCGGTAGAGTTGAAGACAGCAGCAGCCATGTTTTATTATGGTTGGGGAATAATGGTAGAAATGGTACATAAAGTGGAAATCACGTGACAGAACGCACACCGGGCCCGAGTGGCCAATGTTCCTGATGTGGAGACCCGCTCTGCACAGTCAGTAGTCGGACGGAGATTCTTCATCGTCGACGTAGTCGTTGGTGAGGCGACGGCCTTGGCAGACGCCCCGACAAGCCGCACAACTCTCTCCGCTTCTGTCCATGATCTGGGCCGTCTCCTTGCCTCGAGACCTTTATATTCCACATAAATTCAATACGTTTCCAAATTTGTGTACTTTTCAATCATTATTTACGTCTAAAAATTGTCAATCTTAAAAAGCTTTCCAGATTTATACCTATCATCAACTCAACACTAAAGAAACTTCACTGATTATAACCAAAATTAATCTTCACCTTCTTTTTGTACGCATAATTTGTATGTACTGTCTTCTCTTGTACAACCGATGGTGGTTGAATGAGAATAAAGGAATTGAATTGAATTGATTGGTCTCCCTGACTGACCATGTCAGTCCGGTTTTATGCATAGGGACATTACGCCACGTTGTGCAAGGTCACTGACCTATGTACATACGTAGGATCCGCCGACGTAGGGAAGTGTGACATTTTCTAATATCATTAATTATTAAGGGTCCTGTCCGGAGGGGGTTATGATAAGAGGGGATACACCACCGGGATACACCGAATGATTGCTGAATACATTAATAGACAAAAGGGATAGAATTTCGGTGTACTTTGGACATATATTGAAACAAATATGTCGTTTGAATATATGAAGTTTTACAGAAACTTATTGAAATGGTTTACTCTATGACATTTATATTAACTACGATCCGGTTCAACGAAACTCTGAATCATTCAAATCCTTTTGTCTCTGATGTTGTTATTCAGTGCGGGAAAGTCCCCAAATCACTGGAGGTGAGGTGAGGTGAATTGGGTTTAACGTCGTGCTTGTGAATATTTCGCTCGTATGACGACGTGTGCGTGTATGTGTATGTGCGGCTGCTTGTACTAGCCCAGACTGAAACTGGTTTTATAGTGCTAGCCCACTGAGATACCGTACATGCCACAGTGAAGCATGAATACCCCACTTAGACACATTATACTGACTCGAGCCGACCAGTCCTTGTTGTACCCATTAATGCCGAGCGCCAGGCAGGGACCAACAAGTACCATATTTTAACATCTATTGGTATCGACGCGGTCGGGGATCGACCTGCGACCTTCCGCTCTCAGGGCGGACGCTCTAACCACTACACCGCGGAGGCGGTCCCAAATCACTGAACCAAAACTATGGCCGGTAAAGCCCCACTATATTCTACATATATAATTTGAAATGTCGATTTCCGGCTATAAACCAACAGGGCAATGAGTATCACGGTGCAGCTAGTTACAAGTGAGTGAGTGAGTGAATCAGTCAGTGGACACTTCAGTCAGCAACACAATGCGTGTAACTATTCTTTGAATGAAGTATGTTACGGAACTGCAAAGAAGATAGTTATGGTCTTCTGAATCTATCCATTCTGAGTTTTCATCAACTGGGATAAAATATCTGGCTTTATATACCGTGTCGTCTGTTTCACATACACCTAGGGTTACTGACTTGTAAGGTATTCATGTGCCGTATGGATATCTCATATTAGCTAACAATCCCATAAAGTCCCTCTTTAAGACAACCGTCCAACATGTTTAGTGTCAAACGGTTTTGTATTTTCAGTTCCATATACAGTAGTCTGTGGCCTGAGACACAAGACTGCCTGTTACAACTTCGCGTTGATAGTCGACCCCCGTGTGCCGCCACAGAGAGTTGCTTCTCCCCACCATGTTTACACTCGGGGTGTCCTCTGACGTCACATGTCACAGGGAAATAACTGGAATTTTTAAGACGGGAAGGGAGTAGACGAAATCAGACGTTGTTGTCAACAGCGAGAGAATGATACCGTGACTGAGTACTGCCTTCCCGCCATGAAGAACCAACTGACAGATCACTACTACCTGGACTATGTGAAGATCTGCACGGCCTCTACAACATGTCATCTGTCTTCACCTGGTGGTCTGGTTCAACATACTGGTGGTGAAGACTACGTGACGTTCACCTTCCACTGTGTGTACACAGTAAGTAGCGTCTCTTGTAAATTTATGTTGCAGCTACACACACAAACACACACTGTGAAAACCATCAAATATCAAAGAAATGATGTACAAGTAAGAGTTTCTTTATAAAATAAACTACTGCAAACATATTATAATGCTAGTACAAACACAGCGTGTCTGTACAATCTCAGTGGCATTAGAATTTCAATGTCAGTATATAATGAAATAGCAGTGATATTAGCAATAAAGTCAGAGACAGTATAGTCCGTTTGGCTCAAAATCGGACCGATGAATTGCAATCTAACTCGAAAACAACTAAACATAGAACACTCAATGAAACACTGATCATTACGTGGGAGGACTGCAAAGGAGGAACAGCCAGGTGTACGCGAAGCACGTACACACGTGCTTACCAAGACATTGATTCATTAACCTGTGCTGTGCTGTTCCATCCTTTCTCGCACACCTCCCTCGTAACAAATAGTGAACTGTGTCAAAATTTTAATGATAGTTTGTTAAACAACTTTTAATGTTTAGGACATAAATTCTGAAAAGAAATCACAGAGTTGGTCTGATGATGGTTTGATCATGATCAGTGTTTCATTGAGTATTATATGTTTAGTAGTTTTCGAGTTATATTACAATTTTAACCAAAGGGACTATAATATTCACCATCAGCAACACTGGTGAAGCTTCCATAACAGGTCCATATCGGATACCCTGGGTGAGAATATCAATCGCCACAGACTGCTGTTAGTGATGTAATTACAGGTGACAGAGGCACGCGTGTCCCCTTTATATAGTAATGAAAAGAATATTCCACAGCATGATGGATAGGTCTACTATTTTTTTCCTGGAAGCTCCCATGCAGGCTAGATTTGACTCTAGGATTAAATAAAGCTACAGCACTACTTCCCTCTATTGAATCTCAACAGGAACAATGTCATTAAATGACTATATGTACAGTAAACTTCGGTTAACACAAACTAAACTTTCGCCATAACGGGAGCCCGTATACCCATTTCGGCTAAAATATATAGCAACTGACCAGGACTAAAACAGTTCGTTATATCCGTCAGTTCGTTATAAAAGCGTAGTTTGATGTACACACATATTCACACATTCACACACATATGTACACGCGATTAACAGTAACTTACATAATTACAGTATTATAGCACGATGTCAGATTGCATTCAAGGCATGACTGGTACACAGAGTTTCAATACATCGGGCAGTGGGTGGGCTATTGGTTACAGCGTCACGCGTCAGGCCACACTCACTCACTCTATATACGCGACATAGAGGGTAACAGTGAAGTGCATGCAACTATGTCACTGCCGAAAGTATATATCAAAATGCACTAATAAGCACTTCAAGTCTTTGGCAGATCCATATCACACCTACGGATATGCATATGCCGTGCTTAAGGTGTTCCTTTAAGTGGTAAAACTCAGTCACCTGCACCTTGTCTTTCGGTAATCTATGGTCCAGCGGTTTAAGGCGCTGTATTGCACTGTGCAGAGTTGCATCAAACAGACATGTCAGAATCCTAATAGGGTCGTGGGTAGAGATCCCAGATTGTCCTGATAAATTATGAGTCATTACCGTACCATAAGTAGGGTGTTTTAGTAGTTAATGTCTTCTTTCTGCAACATTTCCTGATCCATTCGTAACCACTCTTTCCGTGACCTACAAGAAGACTCGTACCCTACCGTACGCCATTATTGCCAAGAATCGTGGCAAACTAATCAAATCGCGCGTAGTAAAACGCATTTCGAACCATGAAAATGGCGGCACCTTTAAACTTTGAAACTTCGCTAAACCATGCAAAGCACAATTTAAACCTAAACATTTAGCTAAAGAATCCGAAACTTTAAACACTGAAACATATTTACAAAGGGAATGACTTATTCAATCTATTACATCTCTTGAGAAGATTATGCAATCTTTATAATATTTTAATCTTGAACATATATTAAAGTCAATTGACCAATGGATATTCATTTTCAATACCTATTCAAAATGAATACATGTACACGTACCTTCGTGTAAGAAGTATGTATGCATGCCTTTAAGTCCTCTGTCAACCTTCCCAGAGGACACAGTGCTGCACATCCAACACGACTCTACACACACAGGACAGGAGGTGTACCTGTACAACGACCAGCATGACGGAGAGGCCCATGCCAACTGTATAGCATACTCTCATGAGTGTGACTCTCATGTCATTATACAACTTGCTGCAACACGAGTTGTGTCCTCTGTCTGTCGTGTGACCTTCACTGATGGAGACGTGTCTGTCCGGGTGGACTGTAAGAATCCACCTGCATCCAGCAACTGTTCCAGTACAATGTTTGAGAGCAAGTCCAACTATGTTAACATGTCAATATTCATGACAGTCGACCCTGGACGTCAAGAAAAGGAATTTTTGTGGATCCGAGCGAAAGGTAATTGATTATTATCATTAAATTTGTACATCTCCTGATTTGGTTCTAAACCCAGAAATGTAACAAGATGTAAACGTGTAAGAGGTTTTGAATACTGATAGGTGAAGCCTTTGGATGATTTCGAGTTCACTACCGCTTACCTGAGCAACTCACAATTATGAAGTTTACACTTTTTCTGTTGTCAGATAAGTTTAGAGTGACATCATATGACATCATATGAAATTTACATTACAGCTGCTACTGTATGAAGCAGGGACAAATGGCTTTTCTAAGATGGCTAACTTGTGCCTAATCATTTCCTTTCATGAATAGAATATGTTTATATCATTTTCATCACCATGTGTTTGGCATATCGTCAGTATATCTTTACGATGGTGTCGGAAAAACTCGTTTTACTTTTGACTAAGTTGAGGAATTGATAACTTGATGACGTCATAATCATATTGGCCCTGAACATCTCAAGTTTGAAGCGATCGACCTAAACATAAAACCAAATATGACATAACATTTGCATTTCCTCTACGATGACGAGTATTATATTTTGTTTTCGACCTTTGGAAATAATGAGATAATTATCTCAGTGCAAACGTATGTATTCTCATTATACTGTTCCATGAAAATTTTCGGGAATAGAAATTATGGCTAAGTTATTGATTGCAGCATTGCATTGCACTTTAGAGCAAATAAGAGAGTTGTTTCATGATAGAAACACAGAAAACTTTTCTAGTTTCACCAGAATGTCTGATTTGTAATATTGAACGCAAAGTTTGTTTATCTCCATTCTACATATATAGATAAAGTGTGCACGAATATGTTGGTGATAGCCCTGTTGAGATTTATATGTTCAAATGGGCCAGTGCACGTTGACCACAATCTCAAAGGTTTGCTAAATACAATGTTTATTTCTAATACAGCACACATAAAATTCGGAAACAAATTCGATTGATAACCTCTACCAATTGTCTTCACAATACCCGTTTACCAATCACGTCTTTGAGTTTTACTTACCACTTCAGTGATAATTTAACTTTCAGCAAAAAATTTAAAAAATTTCTATGGCATGGCAGCCCAGTACCATGTCTGAAATCAAGCCCAAAGGTACATAAGCTGACCTGCAGCTATGTTGGGTAATTGTAACTTTGTCTGAATGTTGGCATAAAACACATGATTGCCTGTAGTATTAATCAAGGTTCACGTATGTGTAGCCGATACAGGTAAGAATGTCACCGTCGTATGCGGAACCAACATTCCTTCAGATGTGTCACTGAACTGCCCCACGTCTACATCTACAACTCCTACAACAACTACTACTGTTGTTACTACTACTGCTGCTGCGGGAACTACTGCTACTGCCGTTGCTTCTGCCACTTCTACTTCTTCCACGACTAAACAAGCAACAATGGAGCCCAACACAGTCAGCACACAAAAACCGGGAGGAGTAAAACCATCAGCTGGTAAATCACAAGTTATGCAGTCTACAATAACAGCGTCATCAAAGACGTCCATACACAACAACGGCGCCACAACGCTGTCTGCGTCCAGTGGGAACGGTGTTTCTCCAAGCACCACGCCACACCATTCCAAGCCAAATTCCCCCTCTACACACCCGTCGCAACCTCCCAGTGGATTTGTAACATTTTCTGATACATATAGAAAATAGCCTGTCTGTTCAAACAGTGGGCTTAACCCGTGAAGATCCGGGTTAGAATTGATCTTCAGCAACTCATGCTTGTCGTAAGAAGGATGGTCGGATGGGATCGGATGGTCAGGCTCGCTGACTTGGTTGGCACATGTCATCGGTTCCCAATTGCGTAGATCGATGCTCATGATGTTGATCACTGGATTGTCTGGTCCAGACTCGATTATTTACAGACCGCCGCCATAAAGCTGGAATATTGCTGAGTGCGGCGTAAAACAAAAAGCAAACATGACTTCTTTAAGTGGGATTTAGAAGCTTGTATAGAATTTATCTATCCATAAAAGGTGTTCCTCTACAAACGAACAGTGCGCTCACCTTTTCGCTAGCAATTTCATAATGATTCATAAACACATACGAATCATAGTCAGAATCGCACAATGGACTCAGCTTTTATTTATGCATGATACACTCATACATTTTCGTAAGTCAGCTTTTAGTGTTCGTTACAATATACACATGTGATTGGCTAGAGTGAGTGAGTATGGTGTTACACAGCATTTAGCAATAGTTCATCAATATCAGTCCTGGGGACGCCAGAAATAGGCTTCACTTATTGTAACAACGTGTGGAATCGAACCCGGGTCTTTGGCGTGACGAGCGAACGCCTTAACCACTAGGCTATCACCCCCATGCCCCATCATCGGTGACATTTTGATGACGTTTGTGACCTTTTTGGTGAAATTCAGCTTTGGAACGTATACCTTCTTTTGCCCTGCAACTTAAGTAGGAATCACTCATGATCCATTTATGTGAACATAGTCCCTAGTACACTGTGTGTGTCATTGTAAGGTAATCTGGTTATGTTTGCACTTCACTGGCCTTTAAAATCTGCATCGAGTTTACAAATCGCTACCTATTTCTGTACTACTTCTGGGACGGTGGGGAAGCCTACTGGTTAAAGCATTTATTCGTCACGCCGAGCTCGATTCCCCACAAGGTTCGATTCCCCACAAGGTTTACAATGTGTAGAGTCCAATTGCGTTGTCCCCCGCCGTAATAATACTGGAATATTGCTATAAGCGGCGAAAGACCAAGCTCACTCACTCGCTGTACTATTTCTTGTATCTACATTCGGGTTTTTCAATCACCCTGGGAATTAGTGCTAAGTAGTTTTCTCAAGTTACACACCCACTTGTTTTCATCACTAGTTGAATGCTATCAAGGCAATGTTTGTCGTTTTGCCAGAGACCTCTTCACCAAAGGGTACTGACATATCAACTTCAACAAGAGAACCCCAACCTTCAACACCAAGCAAAGGTAAGTCAAGGGTGACATACTGGCTCACACAGACAGATACTGACGCGAGATCAAACAATAATATTTAATAACATTCCTCATCGATTGCATTAAATAGCCGGCTTTTATTGATGTTGATGTTTATGTTTTTCGTTGTAACTCGACGAATAACAGAGACGTCATCTAATGAATACAGTGTATTTCTACTCAGTTAATTTGAAACGTATTTATTTTGCTAGCAATTTTAACATTTTTCGTGAAAGGAAAACACCTCCTCGACAAGGCTCAGAGACAATGTATTTCACTGTTGAGATAACTGATACGATTTTTCATTTCATGTGTTCTACATCAAATATATCACAACCGCTTACTAACATGTGATACAGCTATATTGACGTCCCGATGATAATGATGACACATCGTAACATGTCTGACCTTATATCGATCATGTAAGTCTTCCGACACATAACTCAAAATTATACAGCTTTTTTCGTTATACACTCATGCCAATAATGGTTGTTATTACCCTCCCCACCCCAACCCCCACACACCCCACACCCTCTCCAATAAAACAAAAGGGGGTGACAACCATTATTGGCATGAGTATAGCAGATAAAATGTTGTTGATATATAGGTTTTATCTGTGACGCAGTGGCTCATTTTGAACAATCAACATAACACACATTTTCATTTATTATTGTACGTATCTAACGTTTCCAGAGGTGTTTATAATCGGCGGGAGTGTTGGAGGAGCCGTGTTGATAGCTGTCATAGTGACAATCACAGTGTGCGTACGGCGAAGGAAAAGGTACACACATATCCGACCAGTTTATTTATAGCGCATTAGGGAATAAACTCGCCATAACTTCTTTAAATGTCATTACCACCACATGTACTTTATCATGCAAGAATCGACGTCAACTTACATGTACATTACATCGCAATTCTATGAATGTGTTGTTCATCTACGATCCATGCATAGACGATAACAAAGATCTTGCATATTTAACGATGTGTGAAATATATGAATGAAAACACTTTGCTTCCTATAACTCCTTAAAAGCCATGGTATATGGCGTCATCTCGTATTCTACATGGTGTTTAAAACTGTCATTGTGTCAATGGACAAACCATTATACATACGACAAACACACATCAAAATTCAATTGAAACAAAGCAGAATCGTTACATACGCATGTGTAACATATATATAGATATCGTGTTTTTTCATAAGATTTTACATGAAAAACCGCAAGTCTAAAACCATATATAAAGCCTTCATAATATCTACCGAATTTACATTTCCCAGAAACAGTTCAGAGAATACAGACCAAAAACGTGAAATCATGAACGAAAGCCAAGAGAATGGATACAGCTCCAACGGTGCCAGGAACTCCGGCGGTGACAATGGATGCATGTCCAACCCAATCTACGAGGCAACTGATGACTACAAGATGGAGCAGTTACACCGGAATAGCTGTGGTGACGAGGGCTCTGGACATGAAACCGTGTCTCCTTACGCCCTGTCCGGACCAGCTCGTCCGGGTCTCAGCCTGAAGAAAAACACCTGGGTGACGCAAAGTAAACTGGACTATTTTGACGATATCCTTTTCAATGACCAGCCCAGTGGAGAAGATTCAGAAGAGACAAGCGATGTTCAAGCTTCAGATCTCTACGCCAAGGTGAACAAGCCACAGCGGACCGATCAGGTGTCGGATATATATGCCAAAGTTGACAAGTCAAGGACGACCGTTCGTGGAACATCCGGGTCGTGCGCTGATGGAAGTGAGAATGATGACGTCGCTACGCTGTACGCAAAGGTTCAGAAGTGACTCGAAATGAGGACATCCTTTTCTGTGTGAATTGAATGAGTTAGTTTTACGCCGCTTTTAGCAATATTTCAGCAATATCACGCGGGGAACACAAGAAATGGACTTCACACATTATTTGTTAAGAGTGAGTGAGTATGGTTTTACGCCGCTTTTAGCAATATTCCAGCAATATCACGGGACACCAGAAATGGGCTTCACACATTATTTGTTAAGAACACATGTTGATTTGTCTAATATTTAATTGTTATTTAATGTGTTCTGAAGTATGTTCTAACGTGTTGATTATCTTCCATTATAGCTCTTTCGCCTCTAGTTGTTCTTCTGTTCTCGTCTTTGATTCATTTTAAAGTGATGTATGTTTTGTTAGTGCCTATTTTGCCTATTGCTTGTATTTATGTATAAAACATTTATATATTTGTTAGCAACAGTTTTTAAATTTTCTTTGCGTTTAATATTTCTGCTATATTCATACCTTATGACCATGCTGCTTCTGCATGTCTATAGTGTCACGTACAGATCAAAAACAATAAACACAAAACCTACAGTGCTCTTTCTTGTTCTCACTGTCTGTTGTTTGGAGATGTATTCAGAAACATGTCAGTTATCTTATCGGTGTTTTGATAATTGATAATTGCTGATAATGATATGCACAACGAAAACACTTCACGCGAGGCGGGACTTGCCGTGGGTGTTAAAAGTGGAACGGGTTATCGCTGTCTTTAAGATAACGCAATGGCTTGCTGTCAACGACAAACACTCAATCACTGTTATGTCATTTTCATGTACAGCAAACCATTGCGTTATCTTAAAGACAGCGATAATTATATGGTCTCGGGTGCGTGTTTGTGTGTGTGTGTGTGTGTGTGTGTGTGTGTGTGTGTGTGTGTGTGTGTATGTCATTGCTGTCCGTGTATATGTGCGCGTCTGTGCGTAAGTGTCATTGCTGTCTGTGTGCGTGTGCGTGCGTGTGTGCTTGTGCGTGCCTACATGCCAATCTAACGGTTTAGGAAGTTCAGTGTACTGTGGAATAGGAGGTATTCTGATAACCTTGGACCGTCATATTGATAAGTCTCCTGTCGAGCAATTATATTAGTCTTAAATACAACGTTGTTTGTGGTAAGCGTTGCACTTTTCACTTGTGATCATACAGTACCTGTATCTCACTGTGAGTTCATCATTAGTATACTGCTGTACTTGATTACTGCATGGTGACTGACTTTAAAATTTGTTCTTACGTATTTCATATATGAGTGTACAAACATATCTCCCTATATATGTTTTTAAATCATACTGAATACTCTCTAAGATGAAATATATTCTTGTTGAAATGCCCAGTCAGTCAGGTTCCATACACTTCATATACTTGTGAAGATCCAGGTTAGAACGGTATCGGGTGGCCAGGCTCGCTGACTTGGTTGACACATGACATCGTATACCAGTTGAGTAGATCGATGTTCCCGCTGACAGACAGACAGACAGACAGACAGACAGACAGACAGACAGACAGATTTCATTGGTTATATGGCCCGGAGGCAAACAGTACAATGTAAATATATTGTAATGTACACAATGCCAGCGGTACCATGCAATACGACGTACCATAGATAGACAATGTTAAGTGAAACATACAGTTATTGCCGATTTGATCTATTCCGATGTATATGGTATAGTAATAAGGCTAACTTGTAGAGAGGTTGCACGTCATTCGTTGTTAAAACAGCAATAAACCTTTCCTTTGATGGTTGTCTACATAGATATAAAGGTAAGTATTTATATCTTAAACATGAATATTGAGGACATTCTAAAAGTATATGGAATGCATCCTCTGTGAGGTCACAATGATCACAAGTGGTAATTTGATCATACGGGGGTTTAGAAAACCTTGCAGCTTCTATCTTAAAAGCATGGTCATTACATCTGAACATAGTTACAATTCTGCGTAGATGGATAGATGTTAGAGACGATAGATATAATTGAGGTTTGATAAAGGATTTAAACTAATAACTAATACTACTTGAAGAACGGACATCGTGGAACCATTCCTGCTGGTATATAACTTTACATCGTTATTTGAACATTTTAAAAAAAGAATCCCTGTCGCCAACATCTTGTGCGATCCATACATGGCCAAATCCACATTGAAACAATAATTCACGTACAGATGAGACCCAGTTTATATCCCCTGTACCATCTAATTTCTTTAGAAGTTCATAACTGATTCTGGATATTCTGTTAAGAGGTTGTCTGATCAATCTTATCCAAAACGATAGTACTCGGCAGCGAGCATTGATGATTAGAGGGAAGTGTCCACTTTCTGCTAGTATAATTTTATTAGCAGCTTTATATCCACTTTTCAAAATGAATTTACAGAATTTAGTATGAACTTTTTCTATATTCTTATTACTTTTAATCCCCCAAACTTCCGATCCATATAAGAGAATTAGCTGGATTTTTCCGTCAAACAATTTGGGTGAAGACTCAATGGGAAAGTTCTTATATTTACCAATAAAACGCTTCACAACGTGTAGTGCTCTTTCTGCTTGCATTGCAAGTGTCTCACAAGCTCTCGAGAAAATATTCCTACAAGAGAACACAATTCCTAGATACTTATAGTATGGTACAACCTCTAATTGGCTCTCACCAATATGCCATTTTTCACATTTAGCATTTTTAACCCCAGTTTAGAATACTATTATTTTCGTTTTGTTAGTGTTTATTGAGAGACCCCACTTCAAACAGTATTCCTTTAAAACATCAATCTTTCGCTGTAAGTTAATAACTGAGTCCGCAAATATATCTACGTCATCCGCGAACAATGATATCTTCATGCCGTTGATCAGTGATCGCTGAAGTTCTTGTCCAGACCCAATTACTTACAAGTAGTCTATCACGTCACCCTGGCGTCTTTTCAAGATGGCGTCACTTCCGGTAAGGGGAGGTAGTTTTGGTTCCGGTGTGTGCGCACGCATCGCGATGACGTCACCTCCGGGCCCAGATGGCGGACGCGTTTCAAGATGGCGGCCCATCCGGTGGAATCGCGTGAGATCTCGCGGGATCTCGTGGAATCTCGCGGGATCTCGTGAGCGTAGACGCATTTCAAGATGGCGGACGGACGAACGGGGGTGACGATGACGATGATGTAGTCCTAAAGTGTATTTATTGTTGTACCAGCCTCAAGGATACCTATATTTGCCGGTTGACGTATGGATGCAAGCGTGTAGTGAAACGAAAGCTGGGCATTCACCCATGCCAATGCAGGTGTCAGCTGTGGTGAGTGAGTGAGTGAGTGGTGAGTGAGGTACACACCACAAAACGGTCCTTTTCAGGGCCACCCATCTCTCTCAAAAGAATGGTACATTCAATGTCAACAACACTAATAACAACGATAGACTGGCATTTTTTTTCAAACGTTTATTTCCCCCGCTAACAAGAACACTTTGACAAAAGATGCAGGATTAGGGGCGTCCCTGATCTTTTGTTTACAAACAGTATGAACTGTAACATCATAACTGTAACATATCACAATATATTCACCTAATGATCTTAGCCACGTTGTGATTTCATGGTATCTACTATTAAATGGTTCAAGTGGCTGTAAAGTTTGCAACACAATGCCCAGTAACGGTACTCACACATTCATTCAATGGGCTATTCCTGTCTACCATACTCTTGATCCATTTGTTTTGGGGAATTGTTTGCACTCCTTCGTAACCCCGTGTCACGATCGTGACTATCACTAAGGCGATCCTGAGATTTAACTGTGAAGAGTGGGCATAAGACCATTCTTTTGAAAGTGGTGGTCTCATGGCAAATGGCTACCGTTGTTGTGTTTACGTTAGACATTGCATAACTGTGACGTCATCGATGACTCCACAGCTCATGTGGAACTCCCAGAACTGGGTATTTTCCGAGAACTGCTCATTCTCATTTCTCTAACGTAGGAGCTCTTCGTTGCCCTTCTGGGCGATAGCATTAAAGTCATCTATGTTTTTCCAGTTTCATCTGTATACCATCCTGGGCACTGGATATACGTCCTTTTGGCTGCCTCCACATAACTTAGGCAGGTTTTCAAATAGGCTCGGTAGGATAGGTTCCCATAGAGGGAGTAATTTCCTCTCGTAAGAGGGAATGCATCATGTCGTTCACCGTGAACATGAGTGGCTCAATGTCATCATGAGTCGCATCCATGCCATCTGTATTCTTGATTTAAGCCAGATGCGGAGCTAACACTGACTAAAATCTATGTAAGCATTGACAGGGTTAGCAATTTTAAATTGGAGAGGATCTGTGACGTAAGATGGCGCAGGTCTTCCTGTCTACGCCAATGGTACAACAGACTATCATGCCACATTTCAGTGCTACATTATTGAAGGACACTCACACCAGGCGTTTGAGTGAGTGGGTGAGTGATTTTAGTTTTACACCACGCTCAGCAATATACCAGTTATATGGTGGCAGTCTGTAAATAATCGAGTCTGGACCAGACAATCCAGTGATCAACAGCATGAGCATCCATCTACATAACTGGGATACGATGGAATGTGTCAATCAATTCAGCGAGTCTGATCACCCGATACCGTGAGTCGCCTGTTACGACAATCATGGGTTGCTGAAGACCAATACTAACTCGGATCTTCATGGGGATCAGGCGTTTGGAAGCAAGTGCCTTATGAAAACAAAGATGACCATCTATGCCTGTCAGTGTTTAACACACCTGTAGTCACTCCCACTGTGAGTTAATCTCACCCAGCAGTCCTTTTTGGGACCACGCATCTCTCAAAAGATTGTTGCGACCAATGCAAACAATAGGTCAATCTTTTTATTTCATTCGACAAAAGATGCAGGAAGTAACACAGACATCGATGTAGGCATTCACAGGGTTAGCAATGTTAAATTGGAGGGGACCCGCGACCAACGGTGGCGCAAGAGGATTGTAATGAATCCACTGACCTTCTTGGGCCAAAGTCATCACAGGAGAGACAGGAAAGAGATCCTATTGTGCCTTGGAACATTCGCAGGCATCCTGGCGCATCATATTGACAGCTGATCTGGACAACAGGTCTGGAAAACAGGTCTTGACCGTACCGTGTCTGGTGTTGAACTGAACCCCTCTTCCATCTGGACGCCCCTTTATGCTGCCTGATCAGGGACATCTCGACCCCAACAACTACAGGTGGTTGGTGGTGTACCGTGTACAAAGCACGTTGTTCTTCTCTTGCATTCTTCTTCTCCTTTGGCCACCAGTTGTCTGTAGTTGTCATTGATTTCTTCCTCAGGACAAAACAGGCACAAGTATTCACAAGGGATTTTGGCATGCGTCAGGTGTTCTCGCCAGGGTTGGTCTGTGGCTTCCCATCGATGAATTTTCAGGCCGCAGCAATAACAGATCACACTATCACCTCGTCCATGATAGAAATAGCCAGCCATGGCCAAGTCATAAGGACACTGGGCCATCTGTATAGGCCATGTTCGAAACGACCTCGCACGTTGATAAAACTTGGCATAGTCGGGGTGAGTAGGATTCTTCAAACTGTATCCAGGTTG